TAAACCAGGAAACGGCCTGTGAGCTGAGACTGCTTGGTTTTCCGCATCTCGGCCTGTGCTTTGTGGATCCTCTCCTGACGCAACACGAAAGCACTGAACCGATTCCCCCGTCTGCGGCTCAAAAGGTAATGTCGTTCATGTCGCCAGGTGTGAAGAACAGTCTACTGATGCCAACTGATCACGACACAACAGCACAAATCTGCATCATGCCGCAGGCAAGCATGCTATCCTGGCCAACTCACCCCCAGTCCTCTGCAGTCAGCCCAAATCGACCTCGCCAAATTTGGTCATCCGCAATACCAAACTGACAGACTGATGACATTTTTTTTAAGGGTGTGAAATAGTTTTTTTTTAACGCTCACAGCGCGGCCTTTGTCTGCACAGGGGCTCCCTTTTGGCCTCGGAAAGTCAGAAAGTAAGCACCCGCATCCCAAACCAACGAAACCAGTGAAACCACCGCCAGAGAGGCCACCTAAGCAGGTGATGGATAGCCGCCTTCCGTCTTGCGCCGCAAGGTTTCAAACCAGGACCAACAGCACACCATGGGGCCAGGTGGACCCTTTCCTTGTTGCTTCACATCAGCAATTTTTGCACTTCCTCACTTGATGTGAAGAGATGTGAAGCATCGAACATATGGAACATGTAGAAACATGTCAACACGACATCAATCATCCTAATTTTGGCCATCAATTGGATTTCGGTCTGGGGTTGAAGGCATACATTTTCATCATCGTATATCATGCAGTGACATACCTACGAGTGCTCCTAAAAACAATGCGTCATACTTGCTGGTCTCAATGCCTTCTGCGAATTTTCGGAGATTCTGTTTTTTAAGTATTCTTTTGCTCCAAATCAGCTGCAGGCACGCATGTTGCCTCTCGATTTTGCATCTCGAGCGAAAAAAAAACCAAGTCCAATTGCCGAAGCGCTGGTGCATTCTTCTTTTAATGTGCTTTCAAGAAAGGGATCACATGGAATGTACTCATTGGCATTCATGGAAAGGAAATGCGGCTGGGGTCTCAAAAACTGTGGTCCGCTGCGCTCAATATGGTCAAAACTTTACCTGAGCTAAAGTCCTTGCTGAACTTGCAACTGTTTTGTGGCAAAGCAACCGCCACTCCAAGCATACACTATTTCATTTTTTCCCCCAAACAGCGTGGCCACACTGAAGCGGTTCTTACGGTAACAGTTCAGGCCGGGGGTGTTCAATCGAGGTGGTATCCGGGGCATTTGGCATTTTCCCTACAAATTTCCGCGCTAAATGCCTCTTGTGACATGTCCATGTGCATTTCGACTGCGCAGGCTCGCACAAAACGCTGGCCGCGGGATGCGGGTCCGGCATTTTCCCTACAAATTTCCGCACAAAATGCTTCTTGCGACATGTCCATGTGCATTTCGACTGCGCAGGGTCGCACAAAACGCTGGCCGCGGGATACGGGTCCGGCATTTTCCCTGTAAATTTCCGCGCTAAATGCTTCTTGTGACATGTCCATGTGCATTTCGACTGCGCAGGCTCGCACAAAATGCTGGCCGCGGGATACGGGTCGGGCATTTCCCTTGTGATTATTGGAAGAAGTTGACTTGTGAGGTTATCGGGTCCTTTAGTTTGTGGATGCTGTGTTTGTCTGCGGTCTTTCCTAAGCTGTTGCACATGCCTCTGCATTTCTGAAATCGCACTGAGCCTTGAACTTCCGTGGCCGCACGCTGCTAATCTCACTCCCACCAGCACCACCGCCCGCAAGTGCGGTCCGCACGTGTGGAGCGGCTATATAGTGTAGACAAAGGAGGAAAATGTGGAAAAACGATATCACACCGGCAAGAGGCCCCAAGAGCATGGGGGGTAGGAAAGCAGTGAAGGAGATAGAAGCAACAGCAGCTACAGGAACAGGAATAGATCCGTTAGACATCATTGGAAGTGCGGCAGGGACTTGCTTTGTCAGAAGCAGCAACGCAATGTCTGCTGACCAGGACCTCATTCAGGACATCTAAGGGAATTTCGCTAGATCATGAAAGAAGGACAGAGCTTCCCACGAACATCCAGGAAGAACTGTTGCACATGCACCTCCAAGACAAAGCTAAGCACCTCCGAGACAAAGCATTTTCAAGATCTTCATGCAAGGACCTTTGACAGCAATTCGCTGGGATCTCACAAGTTCATGCCAGGACCCCCTACACAATTTCACCAGGACCTCTACAAGGCCTTCTCACAAGGACCTGTACAAGATCATGCCAGGACCTCTGACATTGGTCTAGGATCTGCTCACACTGACCTGTACAAGATCATGCCAGGACCTGTTACGAAATTTCACCACGACCTCTACAAGACCTTCTCACAACTACCTTCACAAGATCATGCCAGGGCCACTGACATTGATCTAGTATCTGCTCACACTGACCTGTACAAGATCATGCCAGGACCTCTTACGAAATTTCACCACGACCTCTACAAGACCTTCTCACAAGCACCTGTACAAGATCATGCCAGGACCTCTAACATTGATCTAGGATCTGCTCACACTGACCTGTACAAATCATGCAAGGACCTCTTACAAAATTTCACCAGGAACCTATACAAGATCTTCTCACAAGGATCTGTTCAAGATCATGCCAGGACCTCTAACAGCATTGATTTAGGATCTCCACAAGATCTTCGCACAAGGACCTGTACAAGATCATGCAACGACCTCTTGGAGGATTCCACCAGGATCTCTACAAGATCTTGTCACAAAGTATTGTAAAAGACCTTAGCTAAAAGACATTCAGAAGATCTTCATGCCAGGACCTCGAAAAGAATATCACAAGATTGTCAAAAAAGGACCGTGGACAGGATCTGACAAGATCTTCATAGAAGAACCTCCTGACACCTTTCTAGAAGAGCTTTCTCACAAGCACCCCTAACACAGGCAATTTTCCAGATCTTTATTGCAAAAACCTCTAATGCACGGCATCTGCAAGATCTTCATGGAAGGACCTGTTATAGCGGATTGTACCAGGACCTCGACAAGATCTTCTCAAGGTTTTTTGCAAGATCTTGATCAAGAGCTTCATACGAAGAAGACATCTGAGAAAATATTGCAAGATCATCATAGAAAGACCTGCGAGAGAGCAGATACGTCAAGACCTGTGTACAAGAACCTCCTGTAAGAGCATCCTGCAAGAGCTATCATACAAACAGGTCATGTTCAAGATCTTCATGCAACCACCCTTATAGTGGATTTCAACAGGATAATATTCAGGATATCCACACTTCTCACAAGGACCTGTACACGATCATGCAACGACCTTGAAGAGGATTCCACCAGGATTTTCACAAGATCCGCTACAAGACCTTGGCCAGGATCTTCATATAAGGACCTTTGATAGCGCACCGTGAAACTTGTGCGAGATCGTGGATCAAGGACCTTCCAGAGAACTCATAAGATCTCACCAAGATTTCTGAGAAACCATCTAAATAATTAGCACCACGCCGCAACGAGAGTGATCTGACGCGCAACAATAAGGGCGATTTGACAGGCGCAAAGTGGCGAGACGGTTCTGCGAGCACATGTTAGAATTTCACCAAATCTTGCGCGCACCATGAAAATGAACATTGAAAACTATCTGTTTTACCTAGGTTTGGAGCGTTTTTCTTCTACAAAATACCGCGCCTAACAAGAAAATGCACCGAAGGAATCCGAGGTACTGCGGCTGCCATGCAAAATCATCGTGTACCATTTTTTTTTTAAGCAAGAGTTTCACAAAACGAAAGTTTCAAGCCATCGTCCAAGTGCAGCAAAAACCACGCCTGTAACAAAAAATGACATCCGAAACCACCTCTCATTTCGATCCCTGCCTGCCGACGTTTCACCTGTCACGCTAAACGACATTCCAGAAATCGAAATGTCCCAAAGTCCCACCGTTGCCACAAAAAGTGGACATAGCTCAAGAAGCGAGCACCGCGCGCCAAAAAAATAGACCTTCGGAAGAGACCAAAGCGGGACGCACATTTTGCGTGAGCGTGCGGCATCCACATGGACATGGACACTTCAAAAGGGAACTCTTGTGCGAGCTGGCGCAGTCAAAAGCCCGAGATTAGATCGAGCACCCTGAACGAACCCCAGCCTTCACACTTAGCGTAAGAACCCCGCAGTGTGGACACATTTGGGGAACAAAAGGCAAGCCCACTATTTCGAAATGTGTTTGCAACACGAGAAGGCTGGTCCAGGAAAGGTCTTTTGAAATTTTGACACGGTCTTTCTGCAGTGATCAAAAGGCAGGGTTGGTGCTTCAGCCCAATTCAAGCCCACCACAATCAAACCCAGTGAATTCAATCTACCAAGTATCATGGAGTATGGCTCCTCTACGAGCGAGTCGCCGAGTCGTGGATGACTAAAACACGCGCAATTTCCGTTCCCTTCAGTCCCTTTTGCGAACATCGCAGCAACGTGAGCATTTCTCACGTCAGGTTCTTCGGCATGGCGCCAAGTCCGTAGCCAGCTGCAGCACGTTGGTGGCACTTCGACGAAAAAGATCTCGAAATCCAACGTTTGAACAACTTGGCTAACTTGGCTTCATTTCGTTTCGAAAAACTTGAAACTTAACTGGCTCAAATGGCCTTTTGTGACAGTCCAATGGTTTGCTGGCAATGGAGCAGGCAAGGAAAGTGAGTCGGGTTTGTTGTCTCAAACAGACGTACCCACAACAAACTTTCCCTGGCGATACAGTACACGAGTTGCTTGCACAAAAGGTTGGGCGAAATGCAAGCATGGGAGAAATCTCGCAAAAGCCAGGATTTGTGAAGGGCTAAAGTTCATCCACCAAGATAGGAATGATATGGAATGATAGGAAAACACATCCTGCATCTCTCAAGGCAACGCTGAAATCTTCACCGCATCTGAAATGCTTGGCCAATTCATTTGTGGGGACAGCACCCATGAAAGAATATCCGTAACACAAAATTCACCAAACTGGCCGTTGAAACGACCTGATCTGACGATAGAAACTCACAAATTGATCCAAGATTGCGAGAATTCAAAGTTCCAGCTGAAATTGGTCCAATGGATCTTCGTCCATGGCCACCTCAGCCGATGGTGAACACACCGCAAGCCTTTTCACTTTCCTCCCACAGAATCTTTCGCGACTCTTCCTGCGAAGGCGTGCAATCAAAACGCAACAAATCACAAGCAACAGTTGCAAATGTTGTGTAACTGCGTTTCCTTTTCCATCAAATCATTCATAATATTCATAAAATATTCAAAACATATTCTTAAAATATTCATATCATATTCATATATGTTTTTGACATCTCTGAAAACCGGCTTTTCGTAACTCGAATCATCCAAGTCATCCAAGTCATCCAAGTCATCCAAGTCATCCAAGTCATCCCGCGTTACGCCGCGCGTCGCGCAACGCGCGTGGCGCCTTGGTGCAGATCTTCTCCAAATCAAACTTCGCCGGTGGCCCGGTGGCGCGCATCCCCATGGCCTTCTTGGTCCTCAGCGGCCAAGTTGAAGATCGAAGTACAACGTTGGTCGATTTGCAACCAATCCCTTACAATCACAAATCACAACCCCTGCCAAGCTCCAAACATTGAGGCTCAATTCCAAACTTTGAAACCGCAAACAAAAACCATTGGTTTTCTCACAATTGCTGGTGAAATCCAGTGTCACCAGCATATCCTTGGATTAGTTCAGTGGGTACCACTTTCCTATCTTTCCTAAATCCCTGTGATCTTCCCAATCTGTAGCGGTTCCAGATCCAAGCGGCGGTTCGTAAAAGTCACCGTTGGCTACGCCTGTGGCAACTGACTTGAGTCCAACAAATAGAAGAAATATGGCAGTGTGTCAAAACCAATAGTACCCCTTTTTTGTTCACATCAAAATAGCTGGGTTAAAATGGATGTGAATAACCCACTAAAAATTGTATTTTCATAGGTATTGATCCATAGCCATATGAACAAAAAAGAACAAATCAAACAGATGGAAGCTGCAAACATCAGCTCTGAGAACTTCGAGGAAACTATTGATTGGGATATCATGTCTATCAGTTTTCCGGCCATGGGTTCAAATTTGGTGAAACAAAGCCGGCTTGAAACATGGTCGTCACAAGTCGGCTTTGTCAATAGACTATCCCCAAAATCACGGTATCATTTTCCCCAGTATTGGATTTAAGGGGCCATAGCCCATTTTCAAACACACCCACATGGAGGTTTCTTAAAATTGGGAGATCCCCAAGTCACCATAGGTTTCAAGTCACTAAGTTTTGGTCGGTCAAGTTTGGGATTTTCAAACATTTTCAAACACACTGCGGCCTTCACCAGCGCAGCACTGGAGCAATGGCATGGTGCCATCTTCAGCAGACTGCGCATATCCTGAGAGGCATCGCTGAGCATCGGTTGTGTTTTGATGCTGATTCTGAAGGCCAAAGCCAGGCATTGAAAGGTTACAGGGTTACAGGGTTACAGTTTAGTTTATCTGTAACTAAATGACAACTTTCAAAACAGAAAATTATGATCATCGAAAAATCAGAAATATTTCTCAGCACAGTGTCGCATGACCCAGGTTTCGCTCATGCCATCGTTCTGGTTGGTGGTCACCTGGAGCTGGATGATTTTTGGGGGTACCCCCATGGATTGGAAACCTGCAAATGGATTTTAAAATTTTGAAGCAACAAATGAACAGTAATGAATCAAATGAACATGGTATTTTGGTTCTGCTTTGTAATTTTGATACCTTCAATTTGTGGACAATGTGCTGGATGATGGAGTCTGATGGAGCCTTGGGATCCACAGAAAATCTTATTCTAGTCACACTGATTCACCATCCCTGCTCGCTTCACTAAAATAATACGGGTGCAAGGTGGGGCCGCCACTAAGTTGGTTTAGTTTCACCACATTAACTATAGTTATATTTCCCATATATTTCCCATAAATCTAGTTAGTTAAGTTCATAACTTAGCTATCGAACAGGGGCACCATCCTGTGCTTCTTTGGCCTTGCTCCACTGTTTTTCACGAACGTCCACACCTGCAGGTTGGTTGAAGCCAGTCCCGGAGCACAGACCAAGGCTTTTACCTGAAGCGAATGACAACTGGTTGAAGTTGCCAATCTTCACCGATTGGATGGCAGAATTGTCATCAAATGGCGATTTTCGTGTAATCTGCTCGTTTTACAAATACCTGCGCATTTCATGAAAAAATGTTCCACCAGTAAAATAATGGCATTGTATGGAAAGAGTGCGCGTCTGAAGATGGTTGTAGCTGGGTTATGCAATTGGGTTCCAACTTGGGATGTCTTGAGTTCATCCCAAACAACTGGGTCAACTCATTGATATAACCCATTGATATAACCCATTGATAAAACAATTGCAGACAATGAATCAACAGTTACAGTTGGGAATTGATGATCACTTCTCTCAACTCGGGTCAATCTATGCCTTGGAGTTGGCTGCTGTGAGGCGATCTGCAAGCCCCAGGGTGAAGACTGCATTGGCCAATTTGGTCTGGTGGTACCTGGTGAATCAGACATCGATGGTAATTTTCTGGTAATCTATTGAAATTAGGTCTGTTTTTTGTTGAAATTCTTCGATTTTATGTAGATTCTAGATGTTCCTGTCATGGTTTGTCTTGAATGGGATGCCCAAAGTTCGTTCACTATAGCCTGCATAGTTTGCATGTGTCATTTTGGATGAATCTTGGATCATGAGGTATTTGCAATATCCCCGACAAACTCATTTGACAAACTCAGATGTGACCGAAGCGCACCGCTGCCAACGTGCGCCGCCAAAGATCATCGAGCTACCATTGCCGCCCAAATTGCCACCGTTTTTCCCCAGATATTTGGCCTCGGCAAATGCTCAAACATCTTTTCAAATGAGAAGATGAGAAACAAAGAGCCTAAATTTGATCCTGTTGTTGGACATGTTGGTATTCAGATAGCGATATCCACTTCGCACAAATGGAAATTATGCATATCTCATAGCAAATTATCCACTTAAATGGTTGGAGTGGAAATGTCCAGGTTCAATAGCAGTCAACATGGCTGTAGGAAGGCAGCTGCGTCTTCCAGGTTGCAGGTTGCGTTTTGCCGTCCATTTCTGGTGGATTCTCATTGAAATTTCTGAGGCCTTCTAGCCACCATCCAGTCGGACATGAAACCATGTTTGATTTGCAGAAAAAAACAAGGGCGTCAGCTTCAGATGAATAAACCCAGGTCGATTTTGAGGGTTTACCAGTGGGAATCAACTTTTCAATCAGCTATCAATATAGTAATTACCCCAAATGAAGCGGAAATTAAGTACCGATCTGAGGATGACAACCCCCACATTCGAATGATTCGAAGGTCCCCCCCAGCATGATTTGAAGAGAACTTAGTTGTCATATGTTATCGACCCAGAAACCACACAGATGATTGATCATTTTTCCAGAGGTTTTTAACATTTTTACACCGTTTGAGTCACTTTAAGTCATCAAATCAAAACACGCCGCTTTTACGCCCAGTGACATCCAGTACTTTGTTAGGCTGTGCCCGCGCACCCGAGGAGTGATTCACAATTCGCGCCTCGCCCCGCATTTGAGCTCCTGACATTTCCCTAACAGCAGTGTGCTTCAACTGCAAGGCTCAATGCAAGAAGCTTGAAGGTGATGTTCAACCCCTGTACTCCATTGCACATCTTTCGGTCCTTTCTCCAGCAATGGAAAGAGCCTGAGGTTTTGCATGGAGCGTGACATGGCAACCGTCCCTCAGTTTCGCCAAGTACGATCGTGCATGTTGTACCATGGCAACCGGGTCTTTGGGCCCCCTCACCGTATTTCATCGGTCTGGAAATGTCTGGAAGTTTGACTCCAGTCGTATCTCCCCATCGTCCAAGTGGCTCTTTGGTCAGAAGGAAGTGGGAGAGGTGATTGGTCTGCATCTGCACATCATATCCATCTTTCGTGGCCTGGCAGAACCGTAAGGAAAGCACCAAAAGAACCGAAGTCCAACCCAGTTAGAACACTCAGAATATGTTAGAATGAATCTTTATTATTGGAAATCTCATGTTGAATCTATCATAATCTATGTTGTTCTGCGCTACAAAATTGACACTCAACTCACACCCAATCCTCGTCCGCCAACGCCATGACGCCAGCATTGTTACCTCGTCAGATGCTTCACTTAGATTCAACTGGAAGACCGTTCAAATCCCGACAGAACTTTTCAATCTTCACTGGTGACATGGTGAAATCCCCACTAAACCATCCGTTCCCTTGCTCCGAGCCACACAACACGTCAATGCCGGTGTCTCCAAACATCGCCTGAAATATCCAAAACAGGTGAGAAATCCATCCAGTTTAGTTGGTTGAGACGCAAGAAAAAAACTATGGCGATTTGGGGATGATTTCCCGAATCCAATTCCGATCATTCCAGTGACACATACTTCGGTCTTCTTTGATCCAGGTGATATATTGGAACATGTTAAGTATAACGTATAACTATATAACCATATTAACCAGGTACGTATATATATATATATATAATATTCACCATATATTCACCATATATTCACCATATATTCACCATATATTCACCACATATTCACCATACATCATCCATAAACATCGATTTCATGTCATTCTGCTGTTTTTCGGGAAATCCTTGTGATACAGGTAGTATACATCGAGAATGGAAAAAACGACGGAAAAAAACCCATGGATTCCTTCAACTTCTCTGCGCAGCCGCGGACGCTTTCGAAACTTTGCAGATCGCATTCCACGGAGGTCACCTGGCGATGCTAGCGCCGGCGATGATGGGAAAATGCCGGGAACATGGGCCATGGATGAACTTCGCAGTTTTCTTGGGACAAACATGGGATTTGTATGGATTTGTGATATTGTAACCAGATTCCCCAAATTTTTAAAACACATATTTCACACTTCACAATCTTCACATATCTTCAACATATCTTCAACATGCGAAAAATTGATGCCACCTTGGAACCCGGTGCTTCTTCCAGGAGTTTCTTCTCGGCTTCCTCCGCCCGGCCACTCTTCCGGTTCAACATGACCACATGGGCACCTCACCAGGGCTATCCAGGGCTCACTTTCACATGTCAATGGCAAAAGTTGTGGATTTCAGAGAGCCTATTTTGGACCACAACTTTTCACTGCCGCAGGTTTCTCAGGTTTCTCTCTTTTTTTTTGAAACGAAAGGGAAAGTCTCTCTCCCTGTCAGCCTCGACTATGACTCAAATACCTTAACCACTAAAATCCATGAGGTCCTCAGCGGTTTAATCACCCAAACACATAAAGCTGGTCACCATGGTCACCGGCCTTTCTTGGCCATAGTCTGTGCCGCCACAAAGCCAGTGCCTGCAGTGTCAACAAGATGTTCATTCGGGGAATCATCACAAACAAGGGAGAGAAAATTGTAATCTGTACTGGCTATATACGTTATATATATATAATTTCATACATTAATATACATCAATATTCAAATTGTACTAGGGAAGTCCCTAATTTGTCTTGGACAACTGGTACAAACGTTACACAACTTTGGGTGATTTGGGTGATAAAAAAAGGCTGATTCCATCGTGAATTCACCCTGCATCGTCCCTGTCTGCCTGAGGTACAGCCCGTGACAAGGACGACCTTGCCTGCGAGCCACCAAGGCGTCTTGGTGATGGGCGAAAGAAGACCCAAAATCTGCCTTAAACAACATCAAACAACAAAAAAACAACTAGATCAACTAGTAATCTAGTGATACTATGTGATACTGTAACAAGTCTAGAATTGGTAACACCTCGGAACCTGTTTCCTGTGATGGCTTCTGATTTGACATCCAACGGTTTCATCATGGCCACCTTCCAAGGATGGCAACTTGCCGGCGAAGTCATGGAACCACTTGGTCTCGATCTTTCGTGGCTCCTGGGGATCCGACCAAACGTGGGATTTCAATGGAAATTCGATAGGATTTCTACTTTTTTCTGATAGGCAATTCCTATCAATTCCTGATAGGAAACATGATTTTCTACAATTCATTTAGGATTTCTACTTTTTCTGATCTTAACGGATCTGAATGGAACTTGTCCATGGAATTTTAATGGGATTGATCTATTTATCCATTAAGTATAGGGGGTGGTGTCAACAAACGTACGGTTTCATCAACATAAACCGTGGGATTCGTGCCAAGATAAGGATTTGATTAACAGCTGGTGATAAACCATGGCCATTTTGAGGCATCCCCCTTTTTTCAGCCCCCGTTTGGACGAAAGAAGTTCTCCTTGTATGAGCGAGAAGATGCGCCACAGCCCATCTCAACTGACAGACTCAGAGATTTTCCGGAGCCAGAGTATTGCTGCGCAAAATGCAGCTGGTCTTGGTGGGGTCGTATCAAAAATCAACCAATCCTTCGCTGAACTTCAAGTGATAGCTGCTAGCTGGGGGAATAGTTTGGTCGCAACTTCCAGCGGATTGGTGCCAGGATTTTGGGATCATCTTGTCCAGATTACTTTTTGCCACCTATTTCACCACCTATTTAATTTTCCACGATTCCAAAACGCAGAACTGGTAGAGATCACAAGCCGTGCACCACATTTTTCAGCCTGATGTCTGCCGGATGGCACCGCTGAGGTTCGTCTCGCAGAATATCGGCACGGCACTCAGAACAGGGCGAACTGCTTTCGCGCGGAACCGAAAATCTGATTCTTGTCCACCTGGCGATCGATGAGACTCAAATCTGCCAATGGCTGTCGAAAAAGGAGGGTACCCACCAATTGTGGGATGGCTTTCGGGCAATCCTCATTTTTGGCCACAGCGCATATAGGATCATTTTTTGATCAGCATCAATAAACATGAGTTGCCATCAATTAAGATCATTTTTTTACCACCTAACCAACATCAACAACTATTAATCGACATTCATAAAAACTACCATCCTACCCCATGACCATCAACTAATCCCATCCTGCTAATATCAAACAATTCCCTGAACTGGGCTACCAAATGAGTAGAAGAAATACACAGCAGGCAGTTCTTTGGGGGCATTTATAAGGTATTTCATGTGGGGATTTGAATCAATTAACATCAAACAGGTAACCATCAATTTTTTCATCAACTGCATCAACTAGCATGAATCTATAAACATCTATAAACATCTATAAACATCTATAAACATCTATAAACCATCCATAAACCATCCATAAATCTTGATCCCCCTAGCATTTGAAGCTCCGTGTGATGTTCCAGCCTTGATCACATTGAAGCGCACCGTCTTCGCCAAGGGTCGGCACTGCCCTGCGGTGATGATATCTCCCTCCTGGCAGCGGCGAAGTCGGGGAAAGTCGGGGAAGTGGAAGATCTAGAGGGAAAAATGAGAAGAATCATAGGAAATCATAGGAAATCCTCCCATCTTTGGTTTGTTCAGAGCCGTTTTTGGCGATCAAACTCATCATTGAGCGGCTGGTGAGCGGCTGGTGCAATCGGCCATTTCAGCTGGCAAACCCAACTTTTGGTCGTAGAATCCCTTGCTAGTCCAAATCCATTTCTTGCTGGGAACTCCATTTCTAGTAAGTAAAATCCTCATCATTAATAAAAAAAACACCTACAGATGTCTTAAATCCGATTTTCTCTGCCCCCCAAAACAACAAGAAAAACAAGATGTCCTCGGAAACCGAGATACCCCTGGTAACTTGAAAGGCTATGGAAGTCATCATTTTTTGATACGGTATAAATGGTCGAACTAAATGGGCCTTGGCTTCCAGTTTGCAAACTGTAACAAATTACCGGAGCATCATCATCTTCTTCACGATATCCCAATTCTATATGTATGTATACCCATTATACCCCACTGTCCCACTATTCATTTTAGTTGAATCCCGTTCAATCATCATTTATATCATATCCACTTATATTCCTGATGTGGTTTGCACCCAATGCCATAGTCAACATCCCAACCATTCGCCTGGGGGTCATTAAAAACATCATCCCATTGCCGGCTGCCCGACATGAGAAAACATGACCTGGTCCCAATATGACTTACTGGTGCGTTTTACGTAGGGTTGCTGGATGGGTTGCTGGATGGGTTGCTGGGGTAATGGGATGATTATTACTAGTGATGACTGGGATCATTCCCGAAAATTCCCTACGTTTAGCACCAGTGAGATGAGTAAAACCGATGCCATACACCATCCCCGTTTCATCACCATGGCTCTAGTCATGCCACGCAACCAACCATCCCCATGGTGGTGGCAGACGGCTCCTTAGGTTCGAAGGCCGGGCTGCAGTGGACCGCCATGTTGCTGTGCCTGGGGAAATCTCCGTGGCTTGCGTAAATCCCCAAGAGGAAAATCATATGATAAAGACATGGGGAAAATCATCGAACTCAATGCTTTTTCTTGGTTTTTTTTGGATGATTTGAATGGATGTCAGATTATTTTTTTTGGGTGACTTAGCGTTGCACCAGCAAATATCAGGACTTTTACCAACACAAATGGTGATCAACGAAGATTTAGCTAAGAAGAATGTGGATAAAATGGGGGTCTAACTTTGGAAAACTGAGGATTTATCAAATGATAGTTGCTGATTGGAACAATTTGGAGCAACCAACGTTTAGCCAATGGAGTTCCAGCCACCAGATCAGTGGAATGTCTTTTTCCTGTGCGCACGGATGCTTCAAGTCATTGGATTTGGATCGGACATCACGTCCGGTCAGGCGTTGTCACGCTGTCAATCAAGGAATCAAGGAGGAAGAATCGGCATCCATGGCAGGACGCCACGGAAAAAGCCATGTTCGCTTTACGGCCGATTCTTGCCCAACACTCAAGAAAACCATGGCTGGAGTTGATGACTTGGCAATATCAAAATATATCAAATATCATCCTGGAGTTGATAGAATATCCTAAATTTTCAATGTTTGGATTATCTTCCTGGTGAGGATTTTTCAATTCTACAGAGTTTTAGCTTCCATCTACTGTATATGTTGATATCCAAAGTGCATTTCGATCGCTACTCCAACTGTGGCTTTTTGAATGGAAACGTCTGGAACAAGGCTCTTGGCGTAGGAGCCTAGCTCTCGCCAATGCCATCTGCTACCAAAAGAATCTTGAGTCGTTGTGCACTGTGTCACTGCATGGTCCAGGAGGACTGCTATCATTGCTATCAGCAACAGTGCAACAGAAAGGCTCCAAACCTCTCCGCCATTGAAATTGTTGACTCACCAAATATAGCAATTTTGCGTGCACCATATTCTGCCATGCCTCTAGTGAGACTCTAGTCACTTGTCACTTCTCGTGTCACTCGTGTCACTCGTGTCACTCGTGTCACTCGTGTCACTCGTGTCACTTAGTGCACAGCATTGTTGCCGGCGGCATCCAAAGGCGTGCCATCCACCAGATATCCCACATCCGCAGCGTAGGCGGATGGAGGCAATGCGGAGCCAGGAGAGTGTGGATCAGGTCCAATGGTTTCCTTACCGGGAATCGGGATCTCAAACATTGCAATGATTAACTTGTATAACTATAATATTAACTAATAAAACCCAAACATTGCAATATAACTAACATATCTAATCTAACTATAACATACTATAGCTAATAAAGAAAACCTAGATCATGTGATTAAATTTGATGAACAAAGCTTCGAGAAGTGGACATCCAGATACTCTTTGGTTCACCAACCATACCCTTGATGGACCATATGTCATCCATATGTCCAAGCTTTGGGTGTAGCCAACAAACTGGGGTGATTTCACCATCAGAAAATGGGGTGAATTCACCATGTTTATGCCATGTTTATGCCATGAAATGCCATGAATGTCAACCGATAAACCATGTTGAGCAGCTGGCCCCGCTTTACCATGTTTCACCGGCCAAGTGTCGGGATGGTTGATGCAGTTGCCGGCCTTGTTCATCGGGGTGCCGTCGGGCAAGTAGCCCACATCATTCACAAACAAGGCACGGGGCAGGGGGGAACCTCCCAGGTCGCAGGGCGATCGTGGTGGAAAAAGCGGCAGAAAACTGGAATCCCAACCACGGAAAAACAAACTTATGTAATCTTATGTAGGATGTTTATTTCCCCAAAATGATGATAAAGTACTTTTTGAAATTGGTTCCCCCTGTTAGTAAACGGGTGATTTATTGCTCCTAAACCTTTACTGTTCTAAGGCCACTCCAATAATCGCATTGGCTTGGCAGGCTGGACTCCCCGTGACATAATGGAAGATATCACCATGGGTCACCATGATCCCCCAATCCCAAAAAATGCCTGCCGCACCGGTGCACCTGGAGCATGCGGATCTGGTCCAATGGTCTCTGGATGGTTGATGCAGTTGCCGGCGCGATTCATGGGTGTGCCATCTGGCAAGTAGCCAACCTGCGTGTTTCGTGGGCACCGTGGTACCTGTTTGACCACCCCATTCCATATGGCCATCAATTGGGGATGAACATCACCCATCAGACAAAGCCATGATTGGCACATAGGTCTTGGTTACTGAGGTTACTGGCTGTCTCCCTCGAGTTGTGAGTTGTCGCTTTGCAAAGCCATCGATTCTTTGCTAACATTCCCAAGGCCAAGCTGCATCATTGCCGAAGGTCAAGTCCACGTAGGCATCCTGGGACACAAAAAAAATCTGCCCTTATGGATAGGTCAATGGAGTGCTTGAATGGATAGTAGAAGGATAGATGGATGGTAAAATTAATGGTAAAATGCTGCTGTCCATTAGGTTTGTTCTGGATGTCCTGGGAAAATCACTGGTACCATCTGGTTATTTAACATAGCCATGGAAAATGACCCATTTATAGATGGTTTACCTATTAAAAATGGTGATTGTTCATGGCTGTGTTAAATAACCAGATGGTAATTCCAAATCTGATGGTTTTGGGCCATGTCCATCGCCTTCTGCACCGCGTATGCAAAGCCGATGGAATGGCGCACAGGGCTGGTTTGGGCCTTGGCGCGGTTGGACATGGAGGTGACGGATGGGATCGCTGGAAAATCATACTGATCACAATGCTGCGAAAGATCCCGACTCTGACATGTTTTTTGATGATGGGTACATATACATATAGATATGTCAAGTTCCTTCAAAGTTCACACAAAAACCTGACATCAACACAGCCATATAGTCTGACATTTGCTATGGCAAGGTTCATGTCACATATCATCCGAAATATTTTTTGCAATGTACTCTGACATTTGCTCTAGCAAATTTTGCGTGATATTTATATTATGACAATAACTCTCACTAGTAGTTTGGCATCTGATATGGCAAACTTCATGCGACATATAGTCTGAAAATTATTCTGACATATTTTCTGGCATTTGTGTTGTGATGTTTTGTGTAGGATATGT